ATCAGGAAGCATGTTAAGGGTACTCATAAAATGATGGCAAATAACTGCAGACAGGGTATCATAGTGCCAAAAGCATTCTTATTGAATTAATTATTGTGAAATGAAAATTTTGGCTATTTTGAACTTGCATTATTATGCCATCGTAAAGGAAGCATTGAATGCTCAGTACAAATAACAGCTCATCACTCTATAGTCAACATGCAGACATACTAGATACTATTTCCTCTTTTTTATAGTATATAACATAAAAGATCCACAAATTAGAGTCTTTCTTGTCAGTGCTGGATAGTTAGCTAGTACACGTGTAGTGGTTGCTCTATAATTTTTAATGTGTGTAAAAATACTGGTCATACAGTAATGAGTGTCTTGGCTTCATGCCTGTACTTTCCACACTGGCCATTTCATATCAAATATTTGAGTAAGATTAGGTGGCAAACTGCCAGAGGAAATCATTCACAATGTGTGTGTGTCTGTGGGGGTTTATTTTGATAAACTTTAAAGACCAATTTGTCCCAAGACATTAGCTAAATCTGACACAACCTCCCTATGGGCACATTCGGGGACATGCTCTTTTGGAAAAACAATTAATAAAGCAAGTTTTTATTTTTAATGCTAAGTTTATTTTGGGTTTATATGTAGGTTAGTTTATAGCAGTTAGGATTAGCTATATAAAAACAACTGTGTGCAGTAATACATAGCTAACAAATGGTTGTTTTTACATTAAAAAGGCCAATAAGAAATATCTGACCATGACATTTTTATCCAGTTCAAGTTCAGAGAGACCCTTGATACGAAAAGAATGATTAAAAGGCGCATATGGTCCATGTTCATAATTTATATTAACCTCCCTGTTTTACAATGCAAACGTGCATGCAATCTAGAACAACATCAACTGTGGCTAATTCTACTCCGGATCACCTTATCAACAACGGTAAAACTAGCTAAACAGCTTAACATCGTCCACGTCATATTAATCAGAGCTTGATTAGCCCTGTGCTAAGAGAAGGCAGGGGATCCTTTAAGGAAGATTAATGTGTTTTAGAGTGCAACTGAGGCAACCTTAATGCGATTGCTATCTCTTTAATGAAGAAATGGTGTAATCAGAGGGAGAAAGCCAGGGAACTAGAGAGAGAAAGGGGGAAAGAGAGAGCATCTGCTCTTCTTAGGCATTAAAGCTCAGATGAATTAGTCCATGGCGCATGAGGACAGCTTGGCGCTAATATCACGTAAAATATACAGTCAAAAAGTAATCCTAAGCATTCTAAGTATAGAATGTGATGAATAGTTCCGCCATTCATTATGCCTGACCTCATCTGCTCTCATGTAAACTGTCCACTCTCAAGACTTCAGCGCTACAGCTACCCATAATGACTAGGCTTGAGGCCTGTATGACCAAGCAAAATGCCAAATTTGAGCTTGTGCTTGCAAATGACCTTAGATGGATGAAGATAGAGGAAGGGAAAAAAAGGGCTGTGGAACAAAGGTCATAGAGTGAGCAGCTCAAAGATTATTACATGGTACATTGAAGCATGTGATTGTGTGCAGCTGAAAGGCTGCAGAAGAAAGCACTGGTCATTTTCACTGGGTCATCTGGGACACCAGGTCAGCCAGTGGGGAATTCCATGAGGCTGCAACATGACCTCAGGAGAGAACGTGTGCATGTGTGCTTGTGTATATATAGAGGTTAAAGTCAGTGCTTGGGGGCATGACTGAGAACCGCTGTGTGTGTCATGGGAAACAAAGGCTAGGAGGGACAGAAATATACAGAGAGAGAGAGAAAGAAAGAGTGACAGATATAGAGCTGACTTTTCAACACAACAAAAATAAGTACTCCTTCAGCCAAAGCAAAGAAATTTAAAATTATTATTATTATTTTTTTAAAATATGACAGCTCAGCACACTGCTAAAAGAGAAAGAGAGAAAGAAGAACTGGAATGAGAATAGTTGAGTAAAAACAAAAGAGAAAAACAGCATGCCGTGGCCTTGAGATTATCTAGAGTTTGGACAGCTTGGTCACTCTGTTTCCAAAACCTAGTAAGCTGCCTCACTCCCAGCTGCCAACACAGGCATCTGTTTTTTAAAGCAACTTAACAACATACTAATGCTAAACACTTTTAAAATTATTACACTTTAATTTTAAAGGGACAGTTCACCCAAAAATGAAAATTCTGTCATTAATAACTCACCCTCATGTCGTTCCAAACCTGTAAGACCTTCGTTCATCTTTGGAACACAAATTAAGATATTTTTGATTAAATCCGAGCGCTTTCTGACCCTCCATAGACGGCAACAGAACTACCACGGTCAAGGCCCAGAAAGGTAGTAAGGATATGGGTAAAATAGTCTATGTGACATCAGTTGTTCAACCTTAATTTTATGAAGCTATGAGAAAACTGTTTGTGTGCAAAGAAAACAAAAATATCAACTTTACTCAACAATTTATTCTTTTCCGTGTCAGAATTTGACGCACGTTCATGAAGTCCCTGACAGTGACAGAAATACCATAAGAGTGGCTGTGACCTTTCCTAAACTGTATTCGTCATACCCTTCTCCTTGCTTACTTGTATTTGCCCACTTTCCTTTTTGTTTCCTCTCTCTCTTTCTCTTTAGAGCCCATGCTAACAGCCACAGTGAATCCATCAGCATTTGACAAGTGCAGTCATCCAAGAGAGAGTGAGCCTGATGTGGCCCCCAAAAGATTGCTCTTTAAATGCAATGTTTTGCCAACAAACTTTACCAAGCTGGAACATATTAGGGCCAAACTAGAGAGCTGGAGGCACAGGAGGGGTCAGTTGTTTGCTAAAGCACTCTAGGTACATTACTGGCTGCCTCCAAAAAGGAAGTCATACATAAGCTGATGGGTTATCGTGCGAATGGATGCATTCTAACCTATTTTTTGCTCTAGTTGTTCTTTTGTGTTTTGTATGAATCACATTTTTGGCTGTGAAGAGGTTCACTCTGCTCGTAGGCCACCCATCCAGGCTCCTTTGCCCTCTGACCCCAGTTAATGTAGCCTTTAGTGAAAGAGATGATGAAACCATTAGAAAAGAGAGCCTGTGCTCACAGTCTCTGCAGATTCTGAGTTAATTTATCCACACAAATTCACGAGGATGCTCGAGGGCTAGTAGTACTATGCATGTAAAATATGCAAGTGGAATAATTTTTTTTTTCTATTGTTCAAAATTATTATATTTTAAACTGAAAGTTAATACGCTACCATTCAAAAGGTGTCAATAAAATTTTGTTTTGAAAGAAATTCATAATTTTATTTATCAAGAAAACATTAAATTGATCATAAGTGACAGTAAAGAGATTTTTAAGGTTACAAAAGTTTTCAATAAAAGAAAATGCTTTTCTTTAGAACTTTCTATTCACCAGAGAACCCTGAAAAAATATATCACTGTTTCCAGAAAATACTAAGCAGCAAATGTGTTATCAACAATGATAAATAATATAGAAAGTTTTTAGGCACCAAATTAGCATATCAGAATGGAGTAAAGGCTGCTCAAAATTCAGATTTGCCATCAAATGAATGAATTACATTTGAAAATATAATAAAATCAAATAAACAGTTCATTAAATTGTAATATTTTACAGTATTACTTGTGTTATTTTTATATTTTTAAATAAACAATTATGTTAATAAATACAGCCTTGGTAATCATAAAACATTTCTTTCAAAAACTTTAAAAAATAACAGTAACAGTAGTGTATATGACAGCCAATCGAATTAAATCACTGAATATAGTTTAGGGGTAAATGTTTCTGACCATGACTGTTAGTTCTAAGTAAGGCTCAAGCTTGCCACTGGAATCATTGCCCCTAGTCTTGCTTTGGGGCTAAGGTTATGACCCCACAGCAGCAAGAAAAGGTCACACCAGAACCCATAAATCTATGTATGTGTCCATGGGTGGTGCATTTATAAGCTCTAAGTTCTAGTCTGTTACTTCACCCCAAACTGAGCCTCTGTATCAGAGGCTGCATTGCCCAACGTTTTCAGTTACCTTTTAAAATGAATTTTGACCAACTTAAATGCTGAGCTCTGTCTCTGAGAGAGAAAAATTGGGTACAAACAAATTTATGTTACACTGTGACTTAAAGTATTTGTCAGCTTTGTTGTGAACCCATATGTTTATCCATGCTTGCTGATTTACAAACCCAAAAATGCTGTGCTGCAAATTCCGAAATTAATGTACATCATTCATAATTGCTCAAGTTTGCCCAAAGTGAGTTGCTTAAGTGCATCAAAATGGAAACCATAAATCCTCCACTGTATTGTGCTGAACTGATATAATTCACATTTAATGTACTCCTTTATTATAAAAAGCTGAGGCTAATGTTAACCTCCTAGGACTACCTGGGACTCCAGACATCTAATATACCTATATTCATTTATATTATATTGCAGAAGTTCAATGACTGAAACTCAATGTTTGGATTCTAAATAATGAAAGTAGAGAGTGTCGAGCCAGAAGATCCATAACAACCGAGTTTCATCAGGCCTGCATCAATGCAAGTACCTATAGATGCAAGTATTGTGAACTATTACTAATTATTTTAGCCCTCACAAGCTTACCATGAAAATGCATTAAGTCCTCATCAACCAACCACTTTTATCAACCTCTCTTCCTTACACACACACACACACACACACATTTAGGCCTACACCCACAGAAGACACTACTTTAACATCTACTTCCAGAAATGTTCATCCTCAAAGACAAGCATAACTTGTTTGGACAAAATCAGAAATCTATAGATAATTATGATAATTCTTTATAATTAACCACCCTAGCTATCAGTGCCAATAAAGCAAAAATTAATGGAATATAAAAACCCACTGGTTTCTTTAAAAGGAAGCATTGGGTGATGCAGTAAGTTTACAATCATAGTCCCAAAAATGTGTTATTAAAAATACAAAGTACACAAATAAAAAAAATCATCTAAGAAGATAAACCTACAGAAGATTAATAAAATGATGAGAACCTCTGATATCCTACCTGGAGCAGCTTGTATCTCCACTAGGCCTCCAACCATGATAAGTGCCTCAAGAATCTTTACATGATGCTCTGGGTTTACATCCGCACTGGAGCGAGAGAAAGAAATTTTAAGAGTGAGTATATAT